AATTTTTCAAATCGCCGCTCCTACCAGGGTTGCCAGGTGACGACGATGAAAATGGTCAAATGTCATTTCGGGGAGTGCCCTCCGACGAGGAAGAGCATTTTTGAAATTCCCAAACGGCTCCTTCTACTTTTCACCTTTTTGGGGTAAATCTCCGAAATTACCCTAAAATCGGGGAAAAATTTCACGTCATTCGAAAGAGCCAGCGGAGACTCATGACCAGTCCATACCAGGCGAAGAGCTACAATGTTGCCATGTAGGCTAAAAGTGCGTTTGAATTTTTAAAAAAAGTGAAAAAATCATAAAATGGCCGCTGCCGGCGCCGCCATATTGATTTTCGCGAGTTTCATAATTTTCCCATAGTCACGACCATATCAGGCAAGGAACCTCATTCACAGATTTTCTCTGCTGGCCACCCAGGTTCCCAAACAATTCGAGTTATAAGGGCATGTTGAAAAACACGTTTTCTACCGTGGAGCCCAGGGTTGTCAGCTCGCAGAAACGAAAACTACCAAAAGTTATAGGACTCCCCCGGCAACACACCGCATCGAGTTTGTTTTCTACGAAACATGCGTATTTACAAATTTTACTTTTCTCCCAAAATCTCCTAAACTACCACGAAAATGGTAGAAATTAGTACTAATATGGAAAGATCCTACCGAGCCCCACGACCGCCCCATATAAAGAAAACCAGTACGTTGCCGCCATCTTGGAGAAAATCTCACTGGAAAATGGCGATTTTTCATTGCCGAAACAAAATGGCCGCCCCCGCCGCCGCCATGTTGCCGCGCAAATGAAAACTCCCCGTACGTGAAAATCGACTATATTTCCAAACTGAAGTATTAGGCTGGCCGCATAAACACGTTTTCCGTATTCGATTTCCAAATGCGGAATTTCGATTTGTGAGTCCGTGAAACTAGCGCAAACGTGCGTTTTTCTTTATTCGAAATGTATACACGTCAGTACAGATAGTAATAGCGTGATGAACGCACGACGATGGAGGACGACGATTTATTAGCAATTGCATTTCTGTTAACAATAAAGAAGAAAAAGAAACGTCGGTATCTTTGACATCTCTGTTGTGATAGACGTTGTCATGAATATTCCACAGGCAAGGGTATTTTTCAACAGCCAATATTAATGATTCTGCCTCACACATTATCGTGTTGCGATTGTGTCACAAATACAAACAATCAGCCGATGCGCGTGGTGCGGGCGCGATACTGAATACAAATTTCCGAACGTGTGCGCCGACACAAACAAAATGTATGCAAGCACTGCGTTCCGCATGACGTCATTAGGTTTTTTTCAATACGTTTCTCCGAACGCGCCGGCTTGCATTCGAAACGTACGTACGGAATTTGTTCCGTATGGAAAATAAGCGAACATGTGCGTCAGTTAATGTATTTTCTACTGAATCCATGCATTCGGATGTCCGAATACGGAAAACGAATTCGGAAATCGAAGACGGAAAACGTGTGTATGCGGCCAGCCTTAAAAATCTCCCCTCCGAACCCACAGAAAAACAATTGACGATTGCCCGAACAGAGGTCGAAAAATGCCAAATTTCCAGGTTAAATATCTCGGCCGCCATTTTGTTTTTTTAATCAAACCTTTTTCCAGTGTCATTTTTTTAGCCAAATCTACGACCATTTCGAATATCGTAATCGTAGAGTGTATAAAGTAGAAATTAAAAAAATTATCTCGCCGCCATTTTGTTTTTTGGCTGTACCGATATGCCATTTCAACTCATTTTAAAAAAATATTGTCACTTTCCATACATGAAAATGTCATTTTCCCCCTCTTTCTACCCGAAAAAAGCATGGAGTGAGTGAGTCAGTCAGTCAGTGAGTGGTAATTGAGCTTTATATAAACTGACCATTTTTCTTTTAACTCAAAACGGGACGTCTAAACATAATATACCTCATACTACTAATCTATAAATCTAATATAAATATACCCCAGTGGGAAGGTAAACAATAAAAATAAATAGAACTTTTTAACCTTCTTTATTTTGTATTCACAAAATTTTTTAAAACATTTTTGAGTATTAGAAGTATGAAAAATAAGAAGCAATCACCAGCTTCATTAAAGTACCATTTATATGACAGTAACATTATTAAATTATGTGCAACATATTGTATTTTTAGTCCTATTTATATTTCTCCTATTTATATATCTCTCGATTTCTAACACGCATCAATATTTCAATTTTTCGCGCGGTTTTAGAAAACGGGACTATTTTAAGTCCCAAGGGGACAGCGGGACAGGTGGTCGAATAAAGGGACAGTCCCGTTCAATACGGGACGTCTGGTCACTTTAGCTTTATATATTATAGATACAATAAGACAACACCGATTGGGATTAAATTGAGGCTAGGTTGTTTCAAATTACCACTTTTTTGACAAATTTCATTTTAATACTAGGCTTATATTTCCCAAATAAAAAATATTTTATGAAAATTAAACATATGATCGATGGTTTGGTAAATACAGAAACATAAATGGCAGTAATCAGCTTGATAGATAAAATATCGCAAAGATGACTCTAACTAAGGTTTTTGGATCAATTTTACGAATACATTTCATCTTAATATAAAAATATATACAAAAATAGGTTTTGATATGATCCAATGGAAACTAGATTTTTTTTTTCTATAAATGCATTTTTTCCTTTGATTTAAAATGTGTGAAATCGAACGGTTTACGAGCTCACAAATTTTATATTTTTATCTAAAGGTAAAAAGTTTCAATTTCATTTTTTATTTATTTCCATATTTAAGAGTCAAACTATAAAAGCTTTGATTTTAATCCATTAATTTTAAAAGTAGCTTCACAATTATCTCGAGTTTTGACAGCTAACCTCGACACATTATTTACAAATTACTCCTCCAAATAAAAAGATGCTAATATATTGTTCGATTTTAAGCAAAAACTAATTCAAATGATTACTAAGGGACTGCCCGCATCGCGATTTTATTATTTCTCGCAATTCTGCAATACATTGAACCATATGGGAATATCTTCACTTGCGGAAAAAAAAACGCGTTTATTACTAAATTAAAGATTTTCACGATTGCTCAGTCGTGCATCAGCACTAGCGGTGGAAAGATGTTACGCGGTTCGTATCCCGTCTACTTGGCGGCCTATGAAAATGACGAAATTGATATGAAAATGTTTATGAAGTTAATTCAAAATAGGCCTCTCCTATGGGAAAAATTTCAGGCAAACAACCGTGATAGGCAATTGAAAACGAGGCATGGGAAAAAATATTTATTGAATGAAAATTATTCTGTAGTTCATTTTTAGGGTTCCGTACCCAAAGGGTAAAACGGGAACCCTATAAAGGCTTCGCTGTCTGTCTGTCACCGTTCTGTATCTCATGAACCGTTAAAGTTAGATAGTTGAAATTTTCACAAATACTAAAAACCAGAATAAAATAAATATTTAAGTGAGCTCCCATACAACAAACGTGATTTTTTTGCTCGTTACCGGTACAGAACTTTACGTGCGCAAGTCCGACTCGCACATGCCGGTTTTTTTTTGTATAATCCGACGTGCAGTTGACTGTGTTATGGATAATATCAATAGTGTACAATCAATTTTGTTTCTTGAAAAAAAAAATAAAATGAAAGAGCAAAAGACAACGAAAGATCTATTCTATATTTATTCTAAAATTTCAATAAATGTCAGAGTTAACAGTCGTCTAAAGTTTGAGCTACAGCTGGCAGTTAGCACGCTATAGTCTTTTTCCATCACCTTGCGGCTCATTTTGCTAGAGCGAGAAGAATAGCTTGTTGCTTCGAAAATTCCGCAGTCAAATCGTAAATCTTTCTCGCGTTAGCAAATACCGAACGATGGTAAAAGGCGATCCCATGCAGCCAGGTGTAGCTCAAACCGAATACTTTAGCATTTTTAAGCAAAAAGACTGGTATATAAGTATGTACAGCATAAGACCGATGTAGCTGGCCTAACGTGCCGTTCTTATCGACACTATAAGAACGAATTGCTAACTTCGCAGTGCCGGATTAAGCCAGAGTGGGGCCTGTAGCAAATTTTCTGACCCCCCTCCCGTTTCCCTTTGGTTTACTGGACATTACTTGTATAATAATTAAAATAAAATAATATTTTTATAAACACATTTTTCTTGATTTATAACATTTCATAGTAAATTCTTCCAAACACCTAACTTCACCTATCTCCTATCTTTCACGATGACGATGACGAATAATCGGTATCAATAACTGAAATAGCAAACGAAACATTCTATCCGACACTACACAACTAATCTATGACTTGAATTTTATTTGCCAGTTGATGTTATACATAAATATTATAAGTCTAAACCAAACAGAAGCGTGGCTTATTCAAATTCTTACATTTTTAACAATGACTTAAAACATTACTTTATTGGTCAGATAGAAAGCGCGGGGCCCGTAGCATTGGCTACTTACGTGGCTAATCCGGCACTGTAATTTCGACCACATAATGTGCTTTATCATATTTTATCATATATTGCTTGATGTGTGTGTTTATAATACGGGGCAGGAAGAGATGAGTCACAGATTGTCGATATTTATAGATATATATTATTTAAATTATAGATCATAATTCCGTAAATCCGATAACATTTAAAGAAAAAGGTGGTGTCGCCGAAATTAGCGCAGTTCTTAAAATAGCCCACTTTTAAAAATACAATATTAAGAGTATAAAAAATTTAAGATACTAAAATTTTATATGCTACTGTTACCATCTTTTATATGAAAATTGGAAGTGCATTCCATTTCCAGTGTGCTGAAATTTTGAAGACATTATGCCAAGAATAGGTATTTCCAATAATAAGACAAATTAAAACCAATTTTCTCTTCTTAACTGTTAAACGTTTACATTTAATTATTTACCATCAAATCATCTACTTGCATTTTCTATTATGGCCAAAATAGACTGGCTAACCAATTTGTTAAGAACTTAAAACAAATCTCTTTACAGTGCGTAAGTACTTACCTGAACTTCATTATTTATTTCTTGATGCTTATTTATTTCATAACAAATCTCTTCACTGTATCCATGATCAACAGTGCAGGCACGGAAGACATAAAAAGTTTGTTCAATCACATTCGTTATCATAAATGCCATCATATATAAAAACATTGTTGGTTCTACTGTTATGTGTTTGTACCATGGCTTTTCTTTAATCATCTAAAATGTAAAATGGGTTGATTAATCTTGTTTTAATCTGCTTATTTATTAATTAAGCCTCTCACAACAATGAGTGCACTAAAGTTACTCTTAAAATTACATCAAGTCAAGGTTTATATACCAAGTGTCCCATTACTTATAGGAGGGCACTGCTAGCATTGATAAATCAGAACACACTGTTCACACAGGCGCTTCAGGCGAGCCACAGCAATACGACCAAAACATCCATATGTGAGAACACTTAAAAAATCATAAGAACCACTAAGAGAAGTGGATTGAAAGTGAGACATTGTATGCATATCTTGCTTTTGAGTTTCTCAAGTTCCTTGAGTTCATCTATACTAATATTATAAAGCTGAAGTGTTTGTTTGTTTGAATGCGCTAATCTCATGAACTACTGGTTCGAATCGAAAAATTCTTTTTGTGTTGAATAGACCATTTATCGAGTAAGGCTTTAGGCTATATAACATTACGCTGCAACTATTAGTAGGGAAGAGATGATGGAATACGTGGACGAAGTCGCTGGTGGCCACTAGTCTTGTTATATGTTCTAATAGCTAATAAATATTTTGTGTTGGCATAAAAGAGGCATGGTTACAATTTGTCTACATACAAACTAGGGGGGTTCAATTAGCTATACTCTGGAAACAATATAGCTTATTGAACCCTGAAACAACTCAAGGTATAAATTGAAATCTATCCAATTATATATGTAACTAATTATTAAATTTCCAATTCATGATTTCACTCATTTAATATAACACACATTTTATTATTTATTATTATAATTAATTATAGAGATGTATAAGTTAATTAACTGAACCGAAAAATGCGAATAGATAAATAATTATAAACAAAAATTCTTAGGTTTTAATAATAACTGCACAAAGTTTCATATCTAAAATATGGGGAAAATATGTATAAGAAGTTATACTAACCACATCATATTTCTCCATTTTACAACTCAATTCGAATTCTGCAATACTCTATTAAATTTTAATAACCCACTATTTAAGTACCTTTGTAGAGTTAAACAAAAAATACAGTGAAATTTTAAAGTTGAAGAAGGTTAACACATGTTTTGAACAGATGGTATTCACAGCACAGATAAACTTGACACTAAGATAAAATCATTAGAGTAATCTACGCAATCGTCTCATTGTTACTATTGGTTACGTTATGTACGATATGATATTCTTGAAATATTCATCTCCTACCGTGAAACAATTTCCCGCCATTGCATCACTAATTGTCACTGTCACATGTATGTGTGTTGTGTCATTGTCAATCGCTCATTTTTTTTTTGCCTTGGATGCAGAGTTCTTTAAGCCAAAACTTTGTTTGCACTATCTTCGGTTATTTCATTATTTAAAGTTTTTCAATAGAAGATTTTATATACTTACTAGTGGACGCCCGCGACTTCGTCCGCGTGGAAGTCGGTATCCCGTGGGAGTGAGAAGTTTTCCCAGTAAAAAGTACCCTATGTGTTATTCTGATGTATAACCTATATTGCTGTAAAGTTTTATCCAAATCCGTCCAGTAGTTTTTTCGTGAAAGAGTAACAAACATCCATACATCCATACTTACAAACTTTCGCCTTTATAATATTAATAGGATTATTTTTTCAAGTAGTCTTGTAATTTTATTTATACATTTTAACACAGTTCACAGATTTCACTCGCAAACACAAGTCTTTGCATAGAACAATCGCTCAATATCAGTGTTTACACCACAGAGGTTTACACAGTTTACAGTCTAGCCCATAGACTTATAACTATATAACAGGATAGTGTACTCCCAGCTGAAAAAATGAGACAAGTGAGATATCAAGTATAGAGGCTATTTGTCCCTTTTTAATAAAGTGAGAGTAACTTTCTATATGATTCAGTTTTTTACTACTGTGGCTATTATCGTACACAATAATCTTATTAAATTTTTTGTTACAATATACAAGAATAAGAAGAGAGAGCGGAATCTCCACCAAGCTAAACCTAAACTTAACCAAGCTAAACCAAGCAATCACAGATCAAACCCACTAACCAATGGTATACAGAGGAGAGGAGAAGAAAGCATAAACCCACCACATCCCGATAAGTCAAAGAAAATGGTCACCCATCCCATTCCTAGCCTTTGCGTGCGTTGCTTAATCTTCGCAAACGCAAAACAAACATTCTAACCAATTGTGCACTTGCAGTGAAACCACTAACACATACTTTACTTCATAAATAAAAATATATTGAATGAAATTAATATATAATTTAATTGATTTTTTTGTTTAGAATAAGATGTTTTATGTTACGGATCTCCAATAAGACAGTCAAATTGCACCGCGCTCTATTGGTTTGAGGCACTGACATCGCCCCTGGTACATATTTTCAATCTATGCATAGAGAGGGGAGCGTTCCCGGGTGCCTTCAACAGTCTTGCTGTTGTGTCACCAACCCACAATCAAAAATTAATATCCTATGGCGTCCCCCAAGCTAGCATACTGGCTCCCATTCTCTTTTTAATATATGTTGACCAGCTGTGTCGCATGTCTCTCGAGAAATGCCTGTTTTTACGTATGCCGATGATAATGCCTATTAGTCAATGATGATGGCAAAAGCAGAAAGCGCACTTCCAAAAATCAAGATCTGGTGCGACGAGAATTTTCTTACCTTAAACCAAAATAAAACGCTAGTTATTCGTTTTAATATCTCCAAGAAGCACCTTAAAAAGGATCTGTATCTATGTAGAAGCAAATATTTCAAAGTTATGAATTATGTCAAATATTTGGGAGTGCACGTTGATGACAAACTCGACTGGCATGTCCAAATTCTGATCCTCAAAGCAAAGGTTCGAAGGTTGATTTTTGTCTTCAAGAGGTTGTTCTGTTCAGTTGATCGAAATACTTATAAAGACTAAAAGGATCTGTGTCTATCAGTAATAGCATATTGCATTTCGGTTTGGGGTGGGGCAAATAAAACAAGCATTTGAGATTGGAATGAGCTCGGCGGGCTGTACTTAGGTCTTATTGCGTAAGCCAAGAACATACTCTACGGACTTTTTTTTCATGAATGTAAAGTGCTTACAGTAGAATAGAGCTATAAACACACATTAACACACTCACACTCACACACACACACACACACACATATTGATACACGCGCGTACACACAACAGTTCTACTAATAAATAAAATGTTCCTTTAGATAAGAGGAATCCAAAAACATATTTAATTCTAGTTTGGGGGTCAGGGGCTTACAATGATTTAAGTGCTAATTGTAGTTAAAAATGCCAGATTATTGACTTGACCACATTATATTAAAATCCAGATTAAAAGCAACATGTGTTATACTTGAATCATCTGTTACCGATCATGACAGTGTAAAATTATATTCTGCTCATAAGATAGTTGAACGACTTAATTTTGAACATTTAGACAAAACCATATTGAACATTAACTTTTCTTCCATCCTTAACTGTGAATCAGCCGACTTAGCAGCCAATATGCTAGTGGAATACCTATCTAAGGCCATAAAAGATAGCTCAACCCCGGTAAGAGTCTCTTACCGTAAAGTCATAAGAAAGCCATGGATTACGAGTGGACTTCTTCGTTGTATGCGTAATAGGGATAACTTACATAAGAAATTAAAAAAGGATCCAAACAATGATGTTATTAAAACTACATATAAACGCTATAGAATTTTAGGAACCGTATGATTGTAAAGTTGGTGTTCCTATTGTGGTGATGGAGACAACTGGCCAGGGAGACTAAAGGATAATTGTCTCCCTCCGAGCTAGGTGTAGTTAGCCCGGGGACCGCGGTCCAACCGATGTAGGTTGGACGTTCTATTTATGTTAATTGGTAATTAAAGTTATTCTGTGTGATGTAGGTTTCTTTATTCTAAATGTCTTGTAGTTATTAATTTATGCTGTTTGTATTGGTGCAGCGCCATCTCGTTACTTGCTGTTGAAACTTATTGCAGTTCGTCTTGCTATCGATGGCTGTGACGATGCTATTCTTCTCGCTATCGATTGTTGTGGCGATGTTACTGCGATGAATTAGATGTCGCTATGTATCAGTCGCCACAGAATTTACTGCACAGCTGTTTTGAAGAAAGCTAAGAGGAGTTATGAGAGGCTACAGATTGAAACTGCTAGAAACAACAAAAAAAGACTCTGGGAGGTTGTTAAGAACATAAGCGGTTCTAATCAAACTGGGGACAATGCATCATCTCTCATTTCTTCAGATTCGCCAACCCTCAGTGTTAACGAAGTCAACTGTTTCTTTGCAACTGTCGGAAGAAATTTAGCGGAAAAAATACCATCTCAACACCGAAACCAACATTTATCTTCTCTCTTCCATTTACCGTTTCCGCCAGTTGATTCGTTTGCATTGTTACCGGTGAATGAGGACGAGATCTTGCAGCTCCTTGCCGGACTTAGAGATAACTGTGCAGTGGGAATTGACCAGATATCTGGCAGAATAATTAAAAGATATTTATAATTATTGGCCACTCTCATGACACATATATGCAATCTGGCTTTTTCTACCGGAACCTTTCCTATAGCCTTTAAAAGAGCATTGATCAAGCCAATACATAAGAGAGGTGACCGAAGCTGTGTTGATAATTACAGGCCCATATCTATTCTACCAACACTTTCCAAGATCCTAGAAGGTATAATAAATAACAGATTGATCAAATTCTTAGAATCAAAAAACCTTCTCTCATCTTCTCAATACGGCTTCTGTCAAGGAAAGTCCACAGACGATGCTGTACATGACCTTGTATATTCTATTATATCAACAATGGATGACAGAAGAAAGTGTCTAACTATCTTTCTTGATCTAGCAAAAGCGTTCGACACGGTTTCGATCCCTCGCCTCCTGATGAAGTTGGAGAGGATTGGAGTTAGAGGCCTTCCATTAAAACTTCTATGTGATTATCTAACCAATAGGACCCAAAGAGTAAAAATAGAGCACTGGATTAGTGACGAAGCTGACGTCAGATTTGGCATCCCCCAGGG